GTTATTCGGAGTAATGGAAAACCAAAAATAATGGAGTATGACTTAGAGTTAAGGCCGCAGAGCCGAAACTGGGAGCATTTTAGCGACAATCGGTTATGAATTGTGAGCATAAGTAACGTTTATTCAATTAGTTGAGTCGAATCAACTCTCACTATGCTTACTATGCAGAAAAAAGTGGAGTTAGACTGAAGAAATCTTAAGAGTAAAGCCTCAATTACCTGGATGGCATCTAGACTTCCACTACCCTTTAGGCGGAGAACTGCATTAACAGCGAGGTTAGCAAAATGTTCCTTGTGGTGGGTGAGAAGTTTTGAGCTTAAAGTCGTTCGCGCGATTTTCAAAAGCTGGGCCTTGAAAACTTCGTCATTGTGAAGTTCGGCCATGTTCCCGGCGTGGTTGTTGGCGGATTGCTCTAGTGCTTCGAGGGCAATTCTGGAAGCCTCGCGCCAGCCCGCAACAACAGTTTGTGGATGAAGCTTCGACGTAATAAGCAGTTCTCCCTCCTGAAAAATTAAAGGGGGACATTCTAACTTCCAAGCACAGGTGCATAAAGATCGAACCTAGTCTACAGAAAGTCGACGAAAACATGTGATTAAAGACGTATTGACAAAAATTTTAGCACCTCTGTGTGAAGCAAATTTGGTGCCATTCGACTTACACGAAGTAGTTCGGAGGCAAGAACGGTGACCGATGTCGTACCATCCCCGACTTCGTCATCTTGCGCTTTGCTCATCTCTGCAAATAGTTATTTGGGTGATTATTAGTCATACCGACAAGAATTTTGGCAGCGGGATTATCGACACCAATAGACTTAAGGATGGTAGCTCCATCATTCGTCACTTCAAAAGTTTCCGATGTCATCAAAATCTTGTCCATCCCTTTAGGTCCAAGTGTGCTCTTGACGAGATCACCTATGGCGATTGCACCCACGAAGGAAGACTGAAATAGTGAAATAGTGACTGAAATAGCGAAAGACTTACAACACGAGCAGTTTCTGCCTTTTCTTCATCGGCGCCTTGACTGAGGACATTGACAGGTTGAAGGGCGAACTGAAAAAAATCAATAGCATGAGTACTAAGAGTATTCTACTGAAATGACATTTAGATGAAACATGCCCTGCTTAAAAATGACTTTTTTACTAAGGGGAGGGAAAGTTACATTGGCGGAAGGCTCAACTGGGAAGAAGTAGCTGGAGAACGGCAAGTATCAGAAAAAGTCAAGCGTTGATTTTGGGTATACAGTTCTCCGACAAACCAGAATCTGATAGCAGCATTCACAAGCCCCCATTAATAAATATGCGTGGTCTCATGAATGGGTCACGCCTAAAATATGCATACTACACACTGATCTCGAAAAGTATTGAGGCTTCAGAGAGAAATCTGTGTGTAACTTACAATTTACGAGACGCCGAGATAAACGCAGTTTTGTCAGCAGCCGTCCTGTATTCTTTTTTCTGACTACAAACCAACACGAGTTAAACCCAAAGACTGGTTGAGCACCGAAACAGTTTGCTCGAAACTATCTTTTCTTTTACTCCTGCAATCGCCTGCAACGCGAACCTTTGCATCTATTCGTAAACAATGCAACATGGCGCCCAAACTTCACGTGGTTGTGTGCGTCAGGAGCCGCTATAACTCATAACTACGCTTGCTTACATGGATTGAAGTATACTGAAGGAAACTGTTAGACGGATAACGTGTAGGCGGAGAAAGGACGAAAACTGGTTAATTTGTACACACCGACGACGACTGTTTTGAGAAGTGTTTAGTTCTACCATTGAGCAAGAATTTAAAAAAGTCTGACAAATTAATCGTACGTCTGAATAAAGTCACAATGGCGGCAGCAGCCACTTTATGCGCACACATTACAAACGTTATGATGGGAACCGTCACTTCATAGCGTAAAAATCGCCGTGAAGTTTGCCCCACTCTAGCACTTTTTTAGGCCAAGTTAATCATTCTGACCATGCATATTGCGTACATGCTAGCCCTATCACTTGTACGACAAAATTGTTATCGTCACCCAGGCGTCTGATCACGAAAGCCCACAAGACAGGCTTCGTCGGCAGTTGGGCACATAACAGGACTGGACAATCAACTGATGGAACGGAAACCGGAATTTAGACTGCATTAGTTAAATTTTATGTCCTAAAATGGGTGTTTCAGAGTGGTCATTTACTAATTCAGGGAATAATATAAGAACAAAGCTCGGAATGACCTACCATGTTTGACAACTGACCAAGCACGCGCGAACAAGTAAACAGGCGGGATTACGAAAACTAGGCAGCGAGGACGGCCAATCAGGTTTATGAAATAAGCACAACATTCAAAGTGCAATAAATGTGAAAATTTTATTCGTGATCCCCAGAGAAAGGTACGCACTTGCCTGGAGATGTAGAAAGTGTTTTAAGTTGACCCACCATGATTTCTGACAGTACGACCATAAAGAAAATATTTAAATACATTGCAAAGACTGGAAAACGGCAAATGCAAAGGTCGATTCAGTAAAGCGGATAATTGGTGTTGAATCCTAAAGAGGAGCTAGGAGGGAAGTTAAATCCCAAAGGTATTTATGAAATTTCCGTTTCTTAAAGCTTTTCCGATAATCCGCCGCGCTTGAATCTATAGACCATCAGATAATGCT